GTGCTTGTCACTTAATGGAAGGAGTCTGAATGGAATAAATGTGGTGGAATAAATGGGGTTACATTTTCCTAAGAAAAACAGCGAAAGACAAAAATGGCTTTGGTAAGTTTTGGAAACATCTGTGCTATTACTTTCTGTGTTCATCAAGGTGATGCTAAGCGATTAGTCTCTCATTCAACACATTTATATCATTAAAGACTTGAGAATACTATTAAGCACCAGTTGTTACTCTTTAACAGCCTGTAATTACTTTGATCTATAAAAAGGAGTTACTGGTTAGAAAGACACTACATTTTTAGAAATGTGCAGTCAGTTTATGAGCAGAATCCATACAATTAAAAGAGACCAACAGTCCTCTCCTTTATAGTACAATACATATCCAGGCATATTGATTTATTCTGTCTCTAATTCGTAATAGCCATTAATCTAACTAGACATTCTGCCCTTTTTCTCCAATTTTTTTCTGACTATTTCAAGTTCACATTAAAAAATAGTGTCCAATTTCACTAACACAAAGGAAATTGTCTGATGTATAACACATGGAGGTAATCGGGAAGTCTGCATGTGCCAGTGTTGTTAAAACCATCATCTGGCTGTCAGGTGTGAACTTCAGCTCTCTTCCTATAAGGCCACTGACGCCCACCTGTCGGTCACAGGCACATTTGTCCCACCTGTAAATACCATTATGGGTCTTTTTACCTGATGAGCCAATTAGCAGAGCAGAGTTTTATAGGGTACTCAGTTTGCGCCTTTGAGAACTGTAGGGAGGGTTTAGGCAGGAGCACTTTGATTGTGCATTTGCCTGCAGTGGGCCCCTTACTCATTTATTGCTTCCTCATGTGATTTTGTGTTCAATGCTGCACACTGGCTGGCAAGGTTGAACAAAGGCAGGGGTAAAGGAAGTACGGTACTCTTTTTCTCAGATGGAAACATTTCAACGGGGGGGGAAATAAAATTGTGACCATCCACGACTTAATCAAATCAATTTCAGTAATTCGTGCTGCCATTTTCACTTTGTGTCAGATCCTTAAAAAGGTTAGAAAGTATCTCCAAACTGCAATAGCGGGTTAATGGTTGACTGGGGCAAAGGGACTCACCAAGGTGGCCTAAGCCATTTTTGCACATGTTCCCATAATACACAGAAACCTATTTAAGCTTCCAAAAAACAGCACATTAGAAAGGGATCCACTGAGGGAACATACTATTTTTTAAATGAGTATCCTTTCACCAACTGCCAGTGTTTCCTCTCCAAATCCCCTAACCAACCTAAATGAGGCAATTAAATTCATGGCTTCAAAGTCCTTTGAACTACACCTTCTGTCTGAATCCTTTAATATTCCAACTGTGGGTTCTCAAAGCTCATTGTAGCTATTTAGCACTTTGGGCTCCCTTTTTAACAGGGACCACCAGCTCAGTCCTTTCTCATTTCCTGAAGGGGAATAAACATTTGAACAAGTGAAATACCTCCTGTCTGTGATTCTACTGTCGGATGGAAATTTCCCACGTGTTTAGAAAAAAAAGGATTAACACTCTGGTCATTCGTTCCATCTAATCTCTTCTATGCATATGGGTTAGCCCTGGATGAAGTGACTGACTGTGATCCAATTAGCATCTAACACCATCTGACAACGTACGTGTGTCTCTGTTTTAGAAATATGTCTTTAAGTTCTGCGATTTTCTATATTAAGTAGTGTAACACATCACTTAAAGGTGCCAAAGGTGCTTATAGGTAGCACTTAACGTGCATTCACAGAGGTAGAAAAACACCAAGTTGGTGTTATAGCAAGTGATAAGCTATTGAATCTGGGAGCACAGATGAATTCAGGAGAGACATTTGTAAGCAGATAACAGGATTTCACAGCATCTGCATGAATCCAATTTATTGCCGTTCTTAGTGACATTTAAATTAGGAGGAATTTCATCAAATAATTAGCCATGTGTTGTTTTTTAATGCATGTAGAGATAATTTATATAGAGAGCACTTCTAGCACGGTGCACTCACGTGTTTCCTTTGCTGGCACATGGATGTGAGTTTGCACACGTAGAAAGACGTTGCCTATTTAGACTGAGAAAAGATTGGTCATAACAACTAGAGTCAATAAACTGTTGCTGGATTTAACCTTCATTTCTTCCTGCGGAAACATCCAAGTTTTTGATTTTGCGACAAAATAACGATGTGTATCAGGGAGGTATTGTTGTTTCATTTTCACCCAGACTATAACTGTGTTTACATTCCTCTCTTTATGGTTATGTGTGTGTTTACAAAACTGGATTTACATCAAGCTAACCTCCACTTCACCTTGCCTCATTAGTGGCTAAGAAATTACTGCAAGCGCTGCGCAGATATGCTGATGTGTTTACACCGTAGAGGGAAGTCATAATTGTGCAAGAAGAAGGTTTACAGTGGGAATAATTTTGTGCGTGCTGCTGACAAAGGAAGACTGCAGTTTATTGCAGTAAAGTCACTCAGGCTACAAGCTACATATTGTGTTGTTGGAACAGTTGATACCAGATTTTCTTGATTTCTGACTAGTCTTGTTTGCTTGCATTAAAAATATTGAAATAAAACCCAGTTATGGCAAAAAAGGCTCTACATGGCAATTTCTCATTGACCTAATACCTTGTAATATCTTTTTTGGAGTAAGCGCAACAAATACAATCAAAAAAGTAAAAAAAAACCTATTGCATTTGTCTGTCCAAAACCTCTTCTTTACGTCATTCATAATACACCCAGGTGATGTGGTTTGGAACTGAATAACTCCTTTATGTACAGTATATGGTCAGCTATACTAAAGACTGGCCTATAAGACGTCTGCACACAGTTCAAAGTTACATCCATTAAAATCTTTCTGTAAAAATATGAAAGCACATATGTATATTAATACAATAATAAATGATCATATCAATAGAATCTCTCCTATTAGTTTTTCTTTTGCTTTTATGAGCCCATTAAGTTTACAGGTAATCACAAGGTCACTTAAAATGTATCCAGAATGTCCCGCCCCCCCGCTTTGCATTGTGTTCAAACACCAAACTCTTTTATACACAACTGTGCCGAGTGTCTTATCACTTATCACTTATTGATCCACGCACAAGCAGATGACTGTCCTTTAATTACAGGCTGTCATACGGCTGAAAAAGAGGCACAGCTTTCTTTTATCCAATTTCTGTTGCAACGTTGTTGTTTCTTTTTTAATCCAAAACCAGACCTGCTAACATTGAAAAATAATTTATTTCAGAAATGTACTGTGATCATATATTCATTCAGTTTCTGCATGAAAAGCTATTGTTGCGTACAACAAAATCACCCCACAGAGAAAAAAAACATCAAAAAAAGTCGATGACATTTTCTTTTCTGCTTTTTTGAACTATGGAAACTAGGAACACACCACTTAATCTTCACTATAGCGTTATGAGCGCGCCCGGCAGGTGTGGCTGGACGGGGCCAACCTTTCTGTGGCGTAACTCCAGGCAGGCTTAAAGTAGCTGCAGGACAATCTTTTTATACACAGACATACAGTGAATGATCTGCAAAGCTTACGCACGGGAAGCGTAATCACGCGCGCACACACACACACACACTCTTTAGCGTCTGGTACAGTGCAGTCACACCTGAATAGTACAGAGTGGCCGATTGCTCAAAAGAGAGGCGAGACAATTGAGTGACATCATCTCTTGGTGCAGGCTTGCAGCTGCCCAGTGATAGTGAGCAGTGGCGGAGAAGCGCAATCCCCACGAGAAGGGGGGGAAAAAAAACACTTTTTTTCTCAACAAAATCACACTTAAGTACATCCAGCAGCTTTGCCCACATCTGAGAGTCCAGACAACAGTTTTGACACTCCAGATTTTAGGTCAGATTTCAAAGCATTTCAGTAGAAGGGGACAGATGTGTTTATATGCAAGCCGGCAAAAGGTGGAACGTGAAATATGAGCAGTGTATGCAAATCAGTTCACATCCCCCATCTGTCAGGAATAAAAGAAGGCTCCTGTAGTGGGGCCACAGTCAAGGACACCGTCCGCAGTTCGGTCACAAATGGTGCCAGATATCATAAATGTCTCTATCAAGGCAGCTTTGATCCACTGAAACACACTCACAAGGACTTAAACATTTTCACTTGAACAGATATCCACTCATTTCATATATCTGCAGGATCCTTCAGGCATGGCACAGTCACTGACGTTTGATCCAACGTGGCCAAACCTTGTCTGGCCTTTTTTTGTGCATCCGTGAGCACATAGTTCCTTTAATTGAAATGCAGGATCGTATATTCAATGTCCATTTAAAACTCCCCAGGTCAAAGCGTTTATATGTCCTCAATTTGGCAAGAATCCATAATAATGTCGATCTTTGACCCTTTCCATTTTGTTTCGAGTCCAAACGGATACTTTGTTGCTTCACTTTCAGATGATGGCTCCATTGTGGGTCTACATCAATCCTGTGTCTGCAGTGACTTGATTTGACCTAGGTAAGTCTACTATATATATTCATATATATATTGTATGTATACATATATATATATATATATATTCATATATATATATATTTATATAATTATGTTTGTTTCCGAAGAGTCTTGAGACTGTACAGAATAAAAAAGATGCATGTGTTCCCAAATAATAGAAAAAAAGGTAATTAACAACAAGCAAACGTCATGCAAGTAGTTCAGTTAAAAAAAACAAAAACAGAAAAAAAAAACTAAATGAATAGATACTGATGACGTATTTCATCAACTGGTGAGAGAAAAACCAAATCTAAAGTGGCACACTTCAAAACATAAGACAAAAAAAGGTGATCGAAAAAGTATTTTTTTGTTGCTCTGCATATATTCAGACCATGAAAAACAGAAAAAAAAAAGCAAACAGAATGAGAGGACAGACAGGTGGGAGTGAGTTGACTGGGCTGACTTTTGCCTTTAGCGATGCCACGGTCTACGACACACGTTGATATTTCCAGAAGTTTCTTTTTTTTTTTTTTTTTTAATGTTCTGTTCAGCATTTCTTTACACAAAGGAGGAGAAGCCGGCGATCGGGGCCCTGGACCCGGGGGCTAGACTGCTGGGGGGCCTGTACAAGGTGCTGTGCTGGCTGGGGGGGTTGGAGCTCTGCTGGGAGGGGGTGGGAGTCCGGCTTCCTTTGGGCCTGAACAGGCTGCCCTGGCCCTGGGGCTGGCCCTGGGGCTGGCCCTGGGCTTGTTGAGGCTGGGGGCTGGGAGAGCTGAGCTGGGGGGGCAGGGGAGGTAGAGGGGGCAGCGGCGGGGGGGCGCTGTGCTCCGGTTCCCCCGACTCGGACTCGGTGTAGCTGTAGGCCTGCGCTCGGGATATCCCCTTCTGTTGGCGGCGCCAGGAGTTGTAGTAGGTGGGGTCGCTTATGTAGTGGTTGACGAAAGAGTGGGTCTTCTGTCGGTTGGGGTCAACCTCGTACTCACTGTCGCTGCCCTGAAAGAGAAAAAAAAAACACAGAGACAAGGCTTTCTGGGGTTAGCGTAGGGTGACTCTGGGGTGATTAGAGGATGCTGACGCTCCAAAATGAAAAATGAGCATATGAAGTTACTGAAAGTCATCAATTCACCGTCACATCCAAATAACACACTCATGCACACACGTACCTGTTTCACAACACGTCACAAGTACACATGGACATAAGGGTCAAAGATGGTCAAAGCATGATTGTGGAAGGATGATATGTTACCGAAGCGTGCACATTAAACAGGCCATCAACAGAGGATGGTAAACGTCGGTTGCTTTTTGGGGAGTTTTACTGATAAATGGAGCGTTGGGAATTGAAGCTCTTTAAAAGCCATACTGTGGCGGCAAGACAGGGTTTGATGATGCATTATTTCTATTAGATAATGAGAATCTGGGAGAAAAAGGATCTGATGGGGACCACTTTGGAACCTAAAGGGCTACAAACATTCAAAGCAGGCAGCCATAGGAACCTCACCAAATGCAGTGGAAGTGTATGTAGGCCACCTGTTCCATATGAAAACACCAGCGCCTCCTATGGGTGAACAAAACAATGGGTTTTACAGCACATCGCCATAACAGGATGATTAAAATGGCCGAGTCATGATGACGATGATCATACCATTATACATATATCAATATATGTATGTGTAGTCCGGTTGTGTTATTCGGTTACAATGGTGTGATAAACTAGCAAAAGGTAAAAAACCACATTGATTAACACTTTTAGTGACAGTACTTTTTCTTTTTCAAAGCTCAGTTTGACTCCAGTTTCACTGACGCTCCTCCTATCTGAAGGTTGGGATAAAAACAGCTGAATTAATGTCAAAAAACATTGCCTCCGACAAAAGAAAAAGGGAGCATGAATGCTCAACATGAGGTGAGGAGGCTCACGGTCGTCTTATTGTCATCAAAGCGCTCTGTCAATAGACCAGGCGGCATGTTATTATTGACCTGGTTAGAACGGGAATATGCGCCGTCAACTTTGAACAAACTGTTCCTGAACAATTTTCAAAGTAGAGCGCTCTCAGCATGTATAAGCTGCGTTACAAAAGGCGTATTTTGTTCAGAATAGCATCGTGATGGTGCTGACATTTTTTGCTCTCCCCCAGGCCTACTTTCATTATTGCATTTCATTCCTTCATACAAACGAAAAAGGGAAAAGAAAACATCGGAATGCCGTTGAATATTGCACAGCACATATGTGATGCATATGGCAGCTGTGTCAGATTACCTATTGCCTTAATGTTGTTCATTCCTTAAACTCAAACCCATACATGCAAGCCTTTTCTTCTGTTGTGTCACTAGTTCAGAAATGTCCAAACAGAGAATGCTTGTGTTGACATGTGAGAAAAAAACTTTTGACTATCTGTTTCGAAACGAAAGATAGTGATATCCTTTATCCTCAAAGCCTCTCTTTTCCACAACTTAATTAAAGGCAGACACTGCCAAAGCTATTTCCTTCAAGCTTCTCTCACAAAGTGTTTTTTCTTTCATCTTTATAAGGAGTGGGAGTATGAGGCGGATCTATATGACTACGTTGGTTGTTCATTTGTAATATCACAACTCAGTCGTGAAACAGTTTTAAAAACCATTCCGGTCACGCCTTTTGTGTTTGTTAACAACATGGTTACAAAGTATTTTCACAGCGGACTAACAAGAATAACACACTTGACCACTTAAAATGGAGTGAGCTCACTCTGGAAGAATTAACGTTGCATTGTGAGATGAAACACCAATCCAGTTGAGGGGGGGGTATGGGGGGGTAGAGGGAAAGAATGAGCACAGACCAAGCGCTAACAGTGCATTGCGACTATCAAAATGTTCTCCATAAAAGTAGACACTATTCTGATCTGCCTGCCGTTCGATTTTAGTTCATCACCACAAATAAGAACTCAAGGCCCCAACTGAGGAACCTAAAGTAAAGATGCTTGACGACGTGCCTCTGGGGCATCGCAGCTTGCGATACAGCTCTTTACTTTAGCTCATTACAAGCTAATTACTGCAGCTATACGCTGTGAAAGAAGCCGACTTTAGGCATGAAATGCAGCATTGCTCCGCGGCCTCAAGGGAGCAGCCATCATAAGTATGCGCAGAAGTATGTGAGATAGACACATAGCAGCCTGCCAGTGTCAGTTGTTTAACATATTTTCATCATTTTGATGGCAAATTAGGCAGAAAAGGGATTAAGAAATCGGAGCAATTGAGTGGTGAAACCTCTTGACGGGTTTATTTAATGAACGGCTCGATAAACTTGCCTGGTGTTTCTGTTTATAAGCGCTAACTATGCTAGAGGAAGTGGGACAAAAAAGGAGAGGAAATGTAATGAATGAGGATTCAAGTGACATTTGCAGGAGATGAGTTGGCTTTCATCAACAGACAAGTCGGCTGGACAGATAACTTATCACAAAGACATCCAACCTTTGACATCAGCCTGCTGAAACTCACATATGTTGTCATCTCTGTGTTGCTCATGGAATTTATTCCTAGACTTCCTCACAAGATGATGCAAGTTATTTTCGATAGCTTTGCAAATTATTATTTCTTAAGCAAATAAATATTTTTTTTCCTTACTGCTGTTGGTTTGGTATGATGCATAAGACAGAGAAAAAAATCTCTTGTCTATAAAAGGCCCCATCCCCCAAAAATGAATGCAGGGTCCAATACCACAGAGTAGGTCAGTCTATTGTGCTTCAGTTATGGATTATTGCAAAGAGGACAGAGAGAAAGAGAGGGGTGGGGGTTCTATGACATTCTCATTGATGAAGTGAACACAGCAGGGGTCCCCAGAGACAAAGACAATAACAGTGTACGCAGGGCTGGAGGGCGCCCTCACACACTCACAGTACATAAACTCTCACATAGTCTCGCTCCAAAACATTCCATAGTTAGTTGGCCTTAAAATCAGACACACACATATATATCTATATATTTTTTTTTTCCTTAAGAATGAAGAGACAGATGATGGCATTATTCCACCAAAATGAAAGTCAGGACAGAGCTGAAGTTTTATATTTATATAACGCAAAAAAAATAAATAAAAAATATATAAATTAATTTGATTATTAATAGAAAAAATAATGATTATTTAAGTCACATTTGATCATGTAACAGGTGCTGTTTCCAAATCCAAATAAATATCAATATCTACAAAAACCGACAAACAGATTTTTCTACATTTCAAAAGAAATGAATGAATGAATTTTTATCTTTTCAAATGCTTGCAGGGTCACAGTTTGTGCATTTAACATCATTGTTATGATAAATTGAAAGCCTTTTTTGTGGCTGCAGCCAGCCAACAATGCGATGCATGCTACTTCATCATAACAACCATTATTAAAGGGACTGGATATTTTGTTGGGCATCAGTGTTCCCCCAAACAGACTCATTTACTTTAATGACAGTATGGAAAGGATGTGCATATAATGAGGGACGTTACAAGGTTTGTTTTTATCTGAAGCATCTGATTCACCGGTCTCTTTTTGTTTTTTGTGCAGTTTCCAAAAAGGAAAGAAAAAAAAAAGTATGACGACGTCTAACTTAATTCAACTACTTTATTCAGGGCTATGGCACCTATGTGCCACACTGTCAAAACAAAGTGGTGTGTTGTCACTAGTGACAATACAAACGTTACAAAAGAGCATTCCCTGTTGAGTCTAAGCCAAAGAGCCTACAGTAGCCTGTAAGATGAGGAGGGGGGAGGGTGTGGGAGGAGAAAGACAGATGGAGACAGAGGTAAAAAAGAGTGTATGAGATGGGAAGCCCAACGCTTTCATTTCTTTCCCCACATAATACCACTTTATAGAAAGGGAATAATCTACAATCCGTCTCTGAGTCAGAGATGAGATCATCCGTCTTTGACCAGTCTTGGCCCGTAAATGACACACAAAAGACATTGCCGCAGAGACAACCTTGGAAAATGGAGCAAACTTGTGGTCTGAAAGAATAAAACGTCAATGGGACTTTACCTGCGGGGAAGCAAAGCCGTAATGATGGCATTGTTGCCTTGCCAAGGCAATGTTAGCTTCCTCCAAATCTCCTCATGACGAGGAGTACAATAGTCAACTTATACCTGCAGAGGAGTGCCCCCGGGGGGATTAAAGAGGACGGACAGCGTGGTGTCATACAGATAGCTCGGAGTTATCCGCTCAATAAAACTTCAAAGAGCATTCCTGGACTTTTTCAAAAGCACCACTGGGTGCTGATATGGCAGCTTGTCAGGGGTACGGCACTGAAGCCCTGGGGTAACAGGCGGGACTCTTTATGGTTCAGTCTATCAAAGACCCACGTCAACCCCATCTGTGTGCAGCTCACGCTGAGGGGGAAGCCGCCGCATTACAGCCGTGTTTGACAAGGCTCAAGTGCGAACGCTAGATATGTCAGACAGGTGATGAAATATCAAAATGATCCATTTGAGGGGGGATGTTACGGTACTGCGAAAGATCCTGTCTGTAACAATTCATTGTGGGAAGATTTCCATTTGATCTGGAAGTAGGACTCAGGTCCCGATAGGCCCGGGTGAAGAGAGATGTCTGGCTGTGGAATTTACGCCAGAGACAGATTTTTTTCTTTGAGCTGATCAAAGATTGTTTGGAAAATGTAGAGAGGAAGGAATTCCTAGATGGGAAAAAAAAACAGAATGCATGGGGAACACTATCTGTTCATATTTAAACTCTTTCTGGTCTTTGTTTTGGTGCCAGGAAATCAGAAATAACAAATATATTTGAAAGAGACAGAGGAAGATATTTGGATATAAGAATGAGGGTTAACACAGACGAAAAAAACAAACGGAAAAAAAAACTGCTGAATCGGGTCTGCAGACAGGCAGGCTGATCAATATGAGAACAGAGCCTCGGTAAAGCACCAGCTATTGATTTGGCTGATAAAGCGGTATGCCTCAGCACACGGCAAAGGCCACAAATCAGCCATTTCAGCATTAATTGTTAGTAATCCATCAGTCCTTGATTACACACATTGACCACACAGATAGGCTCTGTGAGAGACAACGGGGCCGATCCACTGTGGCTGTCTTCCACAGAGATTGCAGGACAGAAATTTGGTCAGGGAGTTTGTCCAGAGCATCTTTGAACATTCTGCAGCCCTAGAATAGAATGTCCAGAGCAAGCCCCCCCCCTCACCCCAGGGCCATCTTATATAACAAGAGCAGCAGCCATTAACCCAGGTGGATGTTTACTGAGTGACACTCTCCACTGGCTCCTGCCCGGTCTAAAAAAAATAAATAAATAAATAGCCGTGCTGTCACTGAGCACAGCCACTGGCCTCTCATCTCTCCGCGACCATATCTTTTGACCCCTGCAGGCCACATGCGTTCAGAGGACACCGAAAAAGACACGGCACGTGGACAGTGTTGGCAGAAAACACACAAACAAACGAACAAACAAACCAAAAAAAAAGGTGTTGCGGCTGACAATGCAGGGCTGAATTCCAGACAGGTTTGAGATGTGTGCACATAGACAGGCATGAGACAAATGCTACTTTATGCAGACAGGACAGTGGGGGAAAAAAACAAAAAAACAAACAGTGTTGCGGCTCTACCTGTGAGTCTGAGATTTCTGAGGGCTTTTCAGTCAGGCTGCTGCTCTCTGCGGGGATCAGGTCATTGTACTTGGTGCTCACATCCTCATCCGAGTAATGAAGGCTGCCCGGACTGGGCCTGGGAGGAGACCTGGAGGAAAAATGAAGTCAGCAAATCAGTTCGATTCACTCAGCAATCCTCTGCCAATCTAAATGTTGCTTCACGATAACCGTTCATAATCTGTGTGAAAATGGAGGAAATGCCACAGCTCATTCCTTTTTTTTTTTTTTTTTTTTACATTCTGAAAGGTAATAATAAATTCCACATAAGTGATGTTTGACAGGCATATCGTTTAAACATGAATTGGCCCATGAAGAATCAATCAATTCATGTCTGCACACACTATTTTATACACACAATGCATGCACAGTTGTTTTATTTTTCATTTGACCCGAGTTGTGGAAATGAAAATGATGTTTGAAAAGAAAGCAACAGCAAGTCTTCACTCTAAACGTCTGAAACTCGAGTCAACGTGCGTATTCTTCTCTGTTCCAGGGTGTAGGAGTGCATCTCGATGAGAATCATGGGATGCTCATGGGGTGGTTGCTTAGAGCCAGCGTGTCCTGAAATGAATAACTCCCTGATTCAGTCCTCACTGTGGGCTTTGGAATGTCAAACCACTTGGCTCTTGTGACTAAATTATAAACAGAACTCTCGCACAGCTCAAGGGGGTCATCAAACCAATGGCAGTCGGAGGCTTCGCTCCGACAAATGTTGTCGCATCCAACACAAACGACGCCGTGGATTAAACTGTCAGTGGTATACGCCGCCGTTTAAATGTTGCTTAACGTGACCGAGCAGCAGTATGACAAGGATTCTGGAGTCGGATGAGGTCAAAGACTGTTCAGTGGAAGTAAAAGAGGCAGTGAAAATAGACGTAACTTCTAAAAATCATCTACTTTTGTCATGATTTTTTTTAATAGACTGAGAAAAAAAAAACTAAACTCCTGGTTTCTAAACTCCATACTTTCCACTGTTCCTCGTCCTGCTAAACAAAAACCCATCTGTTCCTGCTGATGCTGGTTTGGCTGAGGCTACTGGGACATACTGACTCCTGTTGACTTTCCGTACCGCAGCGTCACTCCCTCTGGAGCCACTGCAACGCACGCAAGCCGTTTTACCAAAGCCAACATGCATTTGCATAAGCATTTTCCAAATTAATTTATGTGCAAAGCATTCAAGGAATGCTGTGGGTAAATTCCAGCATTTCTGACAAGGGGTGCCACTTTGACTCAGGCGTATGTAAAACAGGGAATTCTACAGAGGAATAAATCACCAAGCAAGCTGTAATTCAGTTACGCTTGATGACTTAAATCAAACTAAAGTTAATTCACTTTACTTCAGGAAAAAAGTGAATCACCAACAGCAGGGAGCAATTTATATACAAAATGCTTCTAACTTACTCTACCTATGTGTGTGTTTATCAGATGGCGTTAATATCAACTCTGTGGATATATGAATATTTGTTTTAATGAATGAGGCCAAAACTCACATTAATCAGAATTTTGTCTGTGGCAGATGGAGGGGATATTATATATTTTGTGCATCATAAATTCCTCATATTGTATCACATAGATAAGACCAATAAATCACAACATGAAAAGTTCTTCTGGCAAAAACCTGCAGACAGGCATTCTTATAGACGATTTTTCCATACTGACCACATTTTGTCCGCATAGTAACATTGCTGAAGGGAATTATTTCCAATTGGTGACGCAGCGCCACATTTTGAGCTAAACTGCCGCCTGGCATAAAAAAACAACGAACTACTCTGTTTTCAACCAGTCCGTAGACATCAACACCAGACAATGGCTGGAGAATCAGGTCCAGCTCACAGATACTAGCAGGGCTGCCAGATGAGTTGCCCGATTCAGTTTTGTTTAAGATTTTAGCTACTTTATAAAAAAGAAAGCAAGATTATTGCTCCCTGGGGACACGATCAGATTATTTACAGTGTGCGAGAGGGATGATAGTTGTAAAATAGATATTGTTTACTGCTAACAGTAATGGGAGATTAATAATAAAAGATACTAAAGATTTTATTTTATAAAAAAAAAAAAAAAAAAAAAAAAAAAAAAA